GTCCTGTTACTTTAAGCGTGAATTAATTTTGATCATGTTACATGTGAATTAGATGAAATTTGATCACCTCCTTTTTCAGTCACCAAGTCTCCCCGTTCCCACCCCACAGGTATCTCTCAAATACTACTTATAATATAATATCCCTCTGAAAAACACTCAGTATCTCCCCATTCCCACCCCACAGGTATCTCACAAACAAATACTACTTATAATATCCCTCTGAAAAACACTCAGTCAATTTACAATTGAAAGATACTTACAGATGGATCAGACTGAAATAGATATGGTCGTCCCTCATTCCAACCACATATTAACAATGACACTCCGAAAGGACGTACACCACTAAAGGGAGAGAAAGAGAAAACCTATAACTATTCCTTAAATCTAAAATTATCTATTTTAAAACGTTCTTCAGACCTTTATATACATTATTTCCTTTCCCGATATTAATTTTTTAAAATGAAATTAGGCATAATCAAATCCTTCTTCCTCACAACTTAATCATGATGGATAATTAACTAGGGCTCTCTTGTCTATTTTGGCATTATAACAGACATCTTTTCATTGCAGACCCTCTTAAAAATACTGAATGGGAATAGTCCATAGTCCAAAAATTTAAGATATACAGAGATATTTTACCTTTATGCTCTCAAGACACTTACTAGTACATTCCACCCACTGTCATATGAACAGTTAGCAGTTTCCCTCTCATCCACACTATACTGTAATGACCTTTTTCTGACCAAGATCCTTCCTCTCGTTTAAACATAAAATCTTAAGTGTTCATTGTTTAGTTGATTACTAAACATTTACACAGTATCTTTCACCTCCACATCAGAAAACACCCTATGAACACCATCATGAGTTAGGTAAGTATTTTACAGATGGGGAAACTTGACACAGAAAGGGTAAATAACTTCCCATGTACATGAAAAGCAGCCTTGAGGCAGGAAAGCATAAATTTGAGTTAAAAAAATGAAAAATAGTATTTGGTAAAACCAGACGACACTACAGCAAGTTTAGTAAGAATTGCTTACCCAGACTGTGTGTACTCCTGCATCACAGATGCAATTCTCTGTACTAGTTGAGCTGTTGGAATGGGCTCATGGTAGACCAAGTAATATTGTTGGGCAAGCTTCCGAGCTCTGTGCACAAGTACTCTACAAAAGAGCAAAATTAAAAAAATACATATATATTTATAGGAAATGGTAGAATATCTATGATAATTAAGCTAAAAGTTCTACTATAACAACATTGACACTGAAGATAAATTACTCAGGACTAAATAATTATGTAAGGAAATGAATACATGTGTTCCAGTGTGATATTATGCAGCAACTTAGAAGTCACTCTGAGGCATAAGGGAATATGAAACCTTATTTTATTTGAACGTCTTTCTTTCATAAAAGTTTGATTCTCTAAGTATAAATGTTGTTTTGTATTTATGATTCAATTGTTAAAAGATAAAAAAAATTTCTTAACACAAATGGTAACACCCCACCAACCAGCATGATTAACCCTTAAAAGACAACTGATGGATTTAATATTTTTGGGAAATGGTTGAGAGGTGGCTTGGAGATCAGAAAGGCCTATTTGCAGCAGAGGCTTCAGTTTTGTGAATTAAAATATCTAGATCAAGACCACTACAAAAACCTTCTCCAACAGCAGCAATCTTCTCATACCTGTAATCAGGACCCATACCACTATACACCAGGCCTATGTGTTTAGTAATTGATTCTACTTTGTGTACACTCCTTTCATCATAGAGAATGGATTTCTGTTTCTTCTCAGTTGCCAACACTACCCCATTTGCAGCTGGAAAGAAAAAGATACATTTTTGTGTTTATACATTCAATATCAAAAGCTTATCAAAAGCAACTAAAGCAAATAACAGGTTTGCTAACATTTGAAAAAATTATTCTCTTTCCCATGGATCTCAAGATTTCCATTAGCACATTAAGCCGCCATCCCTGATAATAGCTACCCCGTCATACACAAGGGGTTGGGCATATCTCCTTCATCCTTTTAAAATGCATGTAAGAAAGATACTGCGATATCCACATTAGCTATAACTGTTAAGTAAATTAGTTAAAAACTAGAACTACCTACCAAAGGAAAAAGAATCAGAATAAAGATTAATTCTCTCTATTAAAGCTCTCCCTAAAATAGATTTTTTTTCAAAATGTATATTCCTCTAAAAAAGAATCAGAATAAAGATTAATTTTCTCTATTAAAGCTCTCTCTAAAATGGATTTTTTTTCAAAATGTATATTCCTCTTAGCTACCTTTCTATTTATAGTCTCTTTGCTTTTCCCACTTTTAAAATTATTAATCTGAAAATCAATAATGCAAAATATTATGGCAACCAAATGCATGTGAAAATCCACCTAAAAAGGGCAAAGACAATGCAATTCTACACTACCTTGTAAATCACGTCTCCCTAGTTCCCCATAGAGTAACTAGGAAATATGCATTTTCCAAGAGCCAAAAATGCATTGGGATTCTCCCTACAATGCACTGGATTAAAACCCAGAGCCTTGAATTAACTGTCTCTTAATATACCATTGAAAATGTCTTATACCTTTAATTCCAACTGATGGGGCCCCTCCAGCGACCGCTGCCAAAGCATATTCAATCTGAACAAGTTTACCAGAAGGGCTAAAAAGGAGAACACATACAATTCAGTCATAAGATGCTTTATGAAGAAAATATCCCCAAGTATTAATTTACTGATAATGAGGTTTTTGACACTATACCTATGGATGTTAGAAAAGCGTCCCAGCAAAAAATAATCTACTTTTGCCTAAGTTGTTTGAACATCAGCTTGCACAAGAATACATTTGTTTTTGGACTGTGATAATGACAAAAAGCAATACATGTGAAAACAGTGACTTGTATTATTAAGGGTTTTTTTTGGGGGGGGGGTAATTTAGAGAAACAAAAGACGAGCAGATTTTTAAGTAAATTTCAGGAAAAATAGTAGCTGTTTTGAGTTAAAAGGTTTGTAACTCCATTAGGAAATACAATTTCCAAACTGTGCTTAAACATTCAAAACATTAAACTACAAATTTAGATGTGTCTAACAGGCACATTCAAAAAAAGTCTCCCCCGAAATTCTATATTTAATGTAGAAATTCTTAATCTGCTGTCTTTCAATACAATTTAGGTCAATACTTTGCAGCTTTAGTGCTTCTGGCCTTTCCTCTCCCCCTCCAATAAAGTTGTGTGGGCTCTCCATGGTAGTGCAGATTTCTGGCTTTCAGTTTCTATTTCTGTTAAGTGGTGGCATGTTTCTGGTTATTTTAGAACTAGGTTTATGTGGGTAAAGCTGAGCAGAAATTCAAGTGTTACCAAACACAACTTGAGTTAAGGACACTTTCTAGTGAGGTGGAGGGTTTGGATTTTGTTTGTGTTTAATGTTTGCGTCTCCCCCTTTCCACTCAAGTCCACGCGCGCAGAGCAAGCTGCCCGCCTGCTGCAACAGGCTAGACGTGCCCCGGAGCCCCACCGAGGAGAGCGCGGGGGGGGGAGATGCGCAGGGACCGTGTCACTTTCTAGCCCAGCGCTGCCTGCCAAGCCGGCCCCTGGGAAAGCAGGGCCCGGTCTCCCCAGCTACGGCCCGGT